AAATTTGCACTATAATATATTTTTTCGTTTTTCCTGCAGTATATGAAAATTGGTGTATCTGAAAAATAAAACTATGAAGACACTTAAAATAAATTTCCTTTGGTGGGAAACTAGTTTGTGCAACTTTTTTGTATTTACAGTTTTGAGGGATAAGCCTCTTAAATTTCTCTAACTAGAAATATATGTTAAAAAATCAAAAACGATTTAAAAATTTTTTTGTAGTTTATTGCACTTTTTTGCAATTTATGTAGTTACTATGCACATAATGCAGACATATCATTAAAATTTGGGCTATAATGGTTGTATTGATGTATAGCAACTTGAAATGCTCCAAAAAATGGCTCCACATCATGTAAGAATATACTATAAGCTCTGGCGGACTTGGTTCTATGGTAGGTCTTAAAGGGTTAAAACACAGCGCTGTGCCACTCCAGTGCTGAGTGAGATAGCAGGAGAGACATGATTTCACACCCTCACTGATTGAGGTCTGTCTTTGAGAAAGTTGAGGATCCACTGACACAGTGATGAGCTGAGTCCTAGATCCTTCAACTTGGTGAAAAGATTTAAGGGGATTACTGTGTTGAATGCAGAACTGTAGTCCACAAATAGCATCCTAACATAGTTTCCCCTGCCAGAGACCAAATGGCTCAGTGTGTAGCAGGTGTGTTATGGCATCGTCTGTAGAGTGATTAAGCTGGTATGCGAACTGTAGTGGATCAATGGCGTCAGTGCTACTGGGCACTACTCATTGAGACTGAGTAGACTGGGGTCACCCAGCATTTGGACTCTTCACCCTCCTGCTCTCTGAGAGGCGCTACAGGAGCCTCCTGACTAAGAACACCGGGTACAGCTTCTTCCCTACAGCTGTCAGACTCCTGAACTCTGCCTTCTGACATCTGACCCACATTAAACTCATGGATTGAACATACACACAATGGACAAAAACAAACAAATGGATAACTGTACCCTCATACACACAATAATAACATGGACTGAACCACCACTCACAACCACTAGCACTTTATATAGCTAGTGGTTGTGAGTTATTTATTTATCTCAAAACCTTTTATTTGGCTTTAAAAGGATGTTATTTTCAACCTAGGTTATTGTTTTATTTATTTCAAGTTCTAAGTTTGAGTTCTTTAATCTATTTGAATTAACACTGTGTTATTTTAAATCAAGTTTAGTCCTTTAGGCACAAGATTTAATTTAATTTTGGTCTAGTTCACTTTTGTATTTCAACCATTTCTTATTTTGTTTTAACCCAACAAAATTATTTACATTTCCGTTAACACCATTACAGCCTTAGAATGTAAGGTTGACCACAAATAAATTACAAAAAACAAAAAAATGTAAAAAACTGAAAACAATTCAGCAAAAGGCTGAATAACCCCTTAAACAAACAAACAAAAGAAAAAGAAAAGCTGTCTCTGTGTCCTTTAACTATTAATCCCGGAATTATTCTGAATGGTTATCCGGTGCTTTGAGAGTCCACTGTTCTTTTGCAGAGGTGTATGGATTAATCCTACCAGCTTTTTTTTTTTTCAGCGAAAGAGCACAACATGCAGCAGGGGGCGTTTTTCCTGCTTGGCACAGTTCAATGGGTCCGTTGGTGGCTCACCATCTTGTTTCTTGCTCAGCGAATCAAACTCCGATTCTAGCTCGGCATTTCCCGATCCAAACTTTAATGGCCTACCATAACAACAAAACAATGTGCATAAACATTTGAAAATAACACACGGGTAGCCCTTAAAAAACAGTGGTTTTTTTCTGCATCTTGTGCAGCATGAGCTGTTGGAAATGTGCTATATCAATAAACTTGACCTTGACCTTGATAGAACCCCAGCCAACTCCTCATGAAATCTAACTGTCAAATAAATAGAGGTTCTTTTGACATTTTGACATTTTCAAAAGCAATTTAATTTACAGCTCAATAATAATGTAGTAAATATTGGGATAATAAAGTGGAAAAAAGAAGGTAATGATGTATAACTAGCAAGTTATTACCACTTAATCAGCAAAAAAAGTAATTAAGTAATAGGTAATTATATCAACAATAGCTACAACTGAGCAATATTAAATTGAAATTTATGGATCTTATTCCCATAGAGCTTGAAACTAACAGTGTAAATTTAATGTAATGGGGAAGGCTTTAGGACCTGGAAGATTTAGGGGAGAGTTTAAATCGGAAGTGGTAGTGAGCTCACTTTTTCTCTCTCCCACAAAACACGTAAGCACAATAGTGGCTAGATTTGTGGTGTGCAGAGACGCTAAGAAATTGTTGGAGTGCTAAAATAAAGCAGTAAAGATTCCTTTCATGTCAGGGTCAAGCTCCCATTCAACAGAGAGGTGAGGTATCAAAAATGTTTAAGGTCATGCATCTTTTACTAAAAGAGTATATTAAATTCTAATTGTGTGATGTTCATGATATCCTGTTCTCTTTCAGTATTGTGTAACATCACACTAGCCAAGCTGCATAACAGGTACATAATTCAACCTAAGTTATGACATCGTAGTACAAGCTCCTGTAAAGCATTACTGTAAATCCATGCTGGCATGTAGCCTAAATTGTATGCATTCCTATGCAGGGCGGTCTGCATGTGTGACGAATAGAATTCTATTCTATTCTATAATTTTACTTAGTCCAAGATAATCAGGACATAATCAGATGCGAGATGTAATTTTAATTTATTGAATTTATGTTTGAACTTACAGATGGTTAATTTCCTGGAAAAAAATAAATAAATACTTTAACAATACTAAGTTTCTTCTAGCCTACAAGATTAACTCAACCACAGAATGCTAATGACTTCTCAGGCTACACAGGCATGCAGCAGTTTTGCTAGATTACACAATGTCACCTCAAAACACAGAAAATCTATGAGAAACGTTTGGAACTTTTACTGATTATAGTTTACAACATCATAACATCTATTTTGAAAGGGGAAGTAGAAATCAGAGCCTCACAGCATAAAGTTGGATATGGTTTTCATGCCGTGAAACATGTATATATATGCTTTTCTATGCATCGGGGCACTCAAAGCATTTTATACAATTTGCCTCATTCACCCATTCTTACAGGGTCATTTTATATATTTCAGGAGTCCGATACCATGTACAAAATGTCTGGATTTGGACATGTTATCCTGTGCTACTATATTCTAGGTATGGCAATTTCTAAGAACAGATTAATGGAAGACTTTTTAATCACAGTATAGCATCAAATCTATCTATCTGTCTGTCTGTCTGTCTGTAAATATTGTGATTTTATCTTGTATATTGGATATAGTTTGCATTTAAAATTATAATTTATTTTAAAATGATTATAAATTATTTTAAAATTATAATTTATTTTCATTTTTCTCACAATTCTCTTGCAGGATATATTTGGTGCAGCTCCAGTGCTTGGCAGGTAACAATGCCGAGTAAAATCAAAGGATTGTTGGGTTCCTGTCTTGTTATCCCTTGCAGTTATGATTACTATCAGTATCCACCGAAAAGACCAGATCGTGTAGTGTGGTATCAATATGTGAGCAGAGGATATCCAATAGTATATGACAACTGGAACTGGAATGATGTGTTGAACATATTTAAAGGAAGAACACGTGTATATAGTTCTTCACACCATCGGACATGTAGTCTGTTGATTGACCCAGTGACCTTGGCTGATCACAGTCAGAAGCTTTATCCCTGGGTGGATCCTGAAAATGTTGGATGGAGAACCTACCCTTTCTATGACACAACTGTAACAGTTGAAGTAGTGGGTAGGTAAATCATTTAAGATTTCACTATAAATTGATCACTATGTTGTTATATGATTGTGTAAATCTTCACATTTTATGATTTAAGGCACAGCAGATCCACCGGTTATCGAGATCTTTGGAAACACGGTGGTTGGGCAGTCTGTAACAGTGCAATGCAGTGTTTACCACACTTGTCCCACTTATCCCCCAAGTCTGAGGCTCAACATCCCCCTGCGAAACGAACGTCTAACTCATAGCCGTCTATCTGATGGAAGATCCAAAACTATGGTGACAACCAGTCTGTTCATAGAGAAAGAATATCAAACTGTGGAGTGCTATGTGGAACACCGTGGTGGTCGCTCTGCATCAGCATCCAGAACCTTAACCTCACAATGTATGTAGTGAAAGTAAATTGCATTTTATCCTACAACATCTTTGATATTTAACCATTTTTAATTGTATCCCAGGCTCCATTTCAGGGCTGACTGTCAGCTCTGCATCATATGAATTTCTGGAGGGAGATCCAAATAAAGTAACCTGCACTGTTTCATACACATGCTATCGAAATATTCCAACTCTGACATGGAATTATGGTAATATGCCAGCCTCCTCTGATACTAGCAAGTTATCAGGGGGGGCTCAGTGGAGGACTGTCTCCACACTGACATTTACAGCATCAGCTAATGATGATGGAAGATCGCTGATATGCTATGCACGTTTGGCTGGAGGTGAGACAAAAGAAGCAAGCATCACTCTACGGGTAAAGAGTAAGTACAAATATGTATCTAAATTTAACAGCTAACAATACACCTAAAGCTCTTACAGCATTTATAGGATTGTCCTGCATTTGTTTTCTCTCACAAACTACATCTGCAATAAAAATTATTTTACCTAAGTTTACTACATGCTTTTGAAATGTACTTTAATACTACTACTACTACTACTACTACTAATACTACTACTACTAATAATAATAATAGTAATAGTAATAGTAATAATAATATTTCCAGTGGTACCAGCAGCCATTATCAGCAATTAATCGTTTTTTTTAAACCATTTATGAATATCTGAATACATATTTCAGAAATACCATGACTGACAGAGGGCTTAGACCTGATGCAGAGACGGATTTGTTAGATTTCCAGTGTTAGAGGGAGTAATGTGAAAGTCCTGGCATTGTCAGTAGTAGCAAATAAGCCTGTGTATGCAATGTGCCTGTCACACACGCAGAAAGGACTAGCGCATACTGAAATCACAAGAGTTGGTTGTTTATTTCTTCCACAGTCACCAAGTGCAATATCTACAAGTGCGGGGAACGGGTCCAGGGGTTCCAAGGGTCATGAGGGCAGTTTTAGGAAAACACTCCAACACAAATACTCCTCCTCTCAGCTCGCACCAGGCCGACTCACCCACTCACGACTAACCAGGGGTAGGAAGTCCTCAGGCAGGCAGGTACAATCTAACACAGAGACAAGTGAGTGACATGAGACTAGTTCGCGAAAATTACTTGAAGAGGCTAGAGAATCGGCGGTACACTAACAAGATTTACACAATAATCCAGCGACGAGGCACCTCCAGCCAGCTCCTTAAGTACCGAGCTAGAGTGAGCGCTGATCACAGGAGATTGTTTGCAGGTATGGGAGCCAGGGACGGGAGCCCACAGAGAAATCCGCCCCGGTGGTGCGCTGAGTGCGAGAGGGAAGAGAGAAGGGACAATAGACGCAAAAATACTTGTAGCCAGACTGGGCTAGCCGGGGAGGCACAGGGCCATGACACTGCCATTCAACACATAAGTTATTAAAGAGTTTCCTCAGCAGTGGTGGAAACCAAAACAGAAGTAAAATGACATGGAACATTTAGGGATACAAATACAAATAATGGAGGTTAATATTGTTCTCTGACTTTGGGATGTGTGCACTCAAGTTGTAGTAACAAGATCACAAATGTTTTTCTGTTATCATTCTTCAAATTTGAAAATAGATGTTTTGTTTCAAGTTCATTTAATTTTAAATAGAGTGTAAGCCCTTTTTTAGTGTCAGGCATAAAAGGCTGAGGGTATTGTTGTTGCTCCACAATTGTGGGCACTCAAGTTTGAGAATGCAATAAGTCAAGACTGAAGTCATCTGGTTTAAATTCACAGGACAACTTTTGGAAAATCACCTGAGGTTTTCAAATTTATACCATACCTGCAACATCTAGGAGGCCGGGGGGTAGCACTGGTGGATGCAGATATTTATTTATTTTTTGTTGAGATCCAAAGTGCTTCAAAAGTATCTTCTCTTTTGCAGGAAACATACTGAATCTGGGTTGGTCCTTCACTGCTCCAAGCACCATAACTGGGTTGAAGGGGTCGTGTCTCATCATTCCATGCAAATTCTCCTACAAAAACTCTCAGCCTAATGACCTTGAAGTTATGTGGTACTTGTATCAGGGGAATGGATTTCCAGCTGTATTTAAGCAAGGAGGGAGCGTTATTAGTAAGTTTGATGGTCGAACTAGTTTGATTGGATCAGTGGTTGAGCAGAACTGTAGTCTTAAGATTGAAAGGCTGGAGATGTCACACAACCGTGACCGACTTTATCCATGGATAGATAAGAACACAATTACTTCCTACCACACCAAAGGTCACTCGTTTTATGATGGATCTACTGAACTTATTGTTTCAGGTAAGCATTCATTAATTTCTTCAATTCAACTTTAATTCCATTGATATACATCCAAGTTACTAGAGAAAGTAACCCTTACCATGACAAACTGAGTCCTCTCTGATTTAAAAAAAAAAAAAAAAAAAGTATAATGCCACAATCATAAGGCCTTGTGGCAAAAGCTTCTGTGGTTTGAAAAGAATCTTCATTTTATATTTTCATTATTTATCATTATTTTAGTTTTGCGCATGTATAACTTGAAATTATTTGCCTCTGCATCTAAGTTGTACTAAGAACAAGTTGTACTAAGAGAGTTTTTTTCCAGCACAGTGTTGTCTAAACCCAATAAATGTATTTCAATAACACTTAAAACAACAAAACATTAAGAGAGGCACAAAAAATTATTTGGAGAATTATTTATTTTCAGCTATCTGTATTTTTTTCTTTCCTATCTCTTTTAACTAAGTTTGTTTTATTACAGTTAATAACTTCTGCAAAGTTGCTGTGTTGCTGTAGCTCTCAATTTTTGCTTTGAATTAACAGAACATGCACCAGAACCACAGTTGAGCATTATTGGTATCCTCAGAGTGGGAGAGCAGGGCACTGTGTCCTGCAGTGTGCAGCATACATGTTTCTCTGCTCCCCCAACCTTAACCCTAGAGGGTTTACCTGGAACAAACCAGAACATGGACACTCTGGTATCAGAAGGGATTTGGGAAAGGAAAATAGTTCAAACTTGGACAGTAGAAGAAGAGCACCAGAGTGTAAGTTGTGCTGTTAACTACCCTGCGGGTCAGAG